GCAGATTGCAGTCAGCTGAAACTTCAGTGTTTATTGTTCAGGAGGTTTTTACTGTGAGCTGAATTAATTGCAGATGTCTCTAACTCCTCTAAACAAATGGACCCAGTGATTAAAACTGGTAAAAACACAAAGTAAAGCAGTTTCACATTATGTCGCAAACAGGCTGCTGTCCCAGCACATGCTAATGCGTGCTCACTTTTTCTATGATGACCTAAGGTCCAGACGTTCAGGAGGTTTTCAGCGGGGGCTGAATTAACCGCAGCGGCTAATTCCTCTCCAAACCAAATGGACCCGATGATTAAAATCTGTAAAAACACTAAATAAAGCAATTTCAAGTTAAAAAAAGCATTTTTCCAACACTCGTGTAGCGGAGGGGCTGCGATCTACAGGGACAGATGCAAAAACATGAAAACACAGAAACACAAACTTCCCCATCTAGAGCCAATATTTGGTTTGTTCATTCTGGGCTACTGTAGAAACATGTCAGTGCAACATGGTGATATCCAAGAACCCGTTTCCTGTTTGTTTTCAGGTGATTAAACCCTAAAGAGTATATATTATATTCCATTCCTGCCAATATGCCCCCTTATATCCTACACACTGGATCTTTAAGTGCTTTAGTTCAGCCTTCCCTTTTTTCATTTATTCAGTAACAGGGCAGGGCTTTAATAACACAACGTGACAGCACTTGTTGTGGGATGAGCTAAAGTCGCCTTTCTCCCAGGAAGTACCTCCTGCTTGTTATGTAAAGTTTAATCATTACAGAAGGCAAACTGTGTGAAGCGCTGGATTTTCAGCAGAGCCATGGGAACAGATTCCCCTTTTTTGTTGGCTGCAGTGTCTCTGCTGTCTGCCCTGCATATGGGTGAGCTTAACACGTCAGCATACCGACTTAAACATTCTGGTTCAGCAAAAGGTGTAGTGGGTATTTACCAAGTGCTCGTCTCACGCTCCCATGTCACTGTGGGTGTGTTTTTGGGTTAAACTTTAAGTAGAATTTGTACTAGACATACTGTAGTGACAGTAGACTTTAAAATCGACACCCTAATTTCATGGATCAGTGATTAATTAGGTCACCAAGATTTTAGCTTTAAAGGTCTGAAAACATGTCCATTAAAGGTAGGCCTGTGACACCCTGAAAACCTACTTGTGCTCTGGATTGTTGCACTGATATGTTACTACACAGTATTATGTTTTGTTTGAGTCATTTATAGAAACTCAAACCCCCCCCATCACTGTCTCCTTCCAGGCTACCTGGCCCGTCGGGTTGGTTTGTCCAGGATGGCCCATAAGGTGCTGCCTCCCTCTGTCACTGGACCTCCAGAGTTTGAGAGGACTTTCCGTGCACAGTAAGAGGACTTACGTGTTTTCATAAGCTAATATACAGCCTCTAAAATACTTGTCAAACAGTATCTGTCAGTGGTGTTTCACATACACCACAATCTATTTGATTAACTGATTATGCAAAAGAATAGTCAATTTGGGTTGTGTAATGTATTTTGGGTTTCTACACATGTTTCCATACATTAGTGTTAAAAAACACTAACACACATATCCTCATACTGTCTGTGCTGGAACATTTGTATTCACCCACTGTCTGAAATGCTGCACTGAAAAAGCCCACACCAATAAAAGCTTCTAAACCAAAATCTTTACAACCGGACATGTTCCAGCAGGAATATGATCTGAAATCAGGGAGACATTAACAACACCAGCAACAAAGATTACATGATGACATAAGGAACTCTGTCAGAATATGGAAAAAATATAGAAAAGCATCATTAGACACAGCACAAGGGTACATTCATGGTCCTCAGAGGATGAATTCAACGGACTTTGGTGATCTCCTGACCTTTCCTCTAGATCCACCAACAGGGTGATGTTTGTGGTGGAAATGACGCCAAACACCCCTGCCCCGTGCAAATATACTGACAATATTGGGTGGTTGGGTTGATGGTGGTCTTTTGGAAACTCAAACCAAACCAACAAAATTTTAATGACTATGCCTAGGGTCCCACCTCTAACTGGGCAGAAAGCCGATCATAGTTTAGGGTAATAGGGTGGCCAGTCAGTTTTTAGGTGTGGCTTGTGTCACCCCTGGCCACGCCCCTACTCCATTTAAATGAAATAGAGGACTGCAGGTCTGAAGTCAATCTGAATGCGGCCCGTTATGTACAAAAATAGATACATCCATTTAAAACATGTCCATCATACTGCCCTCATACTTCCTTGTGTCCTTTATGTTGGCGTAGCTTAATCCAACAGATGGCACTAGAGGACAGTCAAAAATTTCTGACAACACCAAACAAGGTGACGGTGAAGGAGGTCGTAATGATCTACCTTTTAACAGAGGCAGCATTTTAGACAGCTGTGATCTGATAGGCCATTAAATACACTGTGACATGTGGATGGAGAATTCTTTTCACTATATTAGCCCACTGATTTGTTCCATTCCGCCGTTTTTAAAATGTCTTTGTCGTGTCCTACAGTAGTATCTTACTTATGCAACACTGCCTCAGTGATTTCAAGTGGCCCTACTCCATTTTGTCCATATCCATTAACTTTCAGAAAATGTGCACAAATGTGGGCGAAATGACCCAAAGTATGGACAGAAGGACGCTTTCGTGTCCGTATACATGTCTAACATTAAGCCTAAATAAGCCATCAGTCTCATTTATTGTTAAATGCATGTATACGGTGTATACTCATGGTAGCCTGAGAGCTGTTTCAGAGTCTTTTACTCCTGGGTAATAATATAATTTTGGAAAAAAGAAACCCTGATTATAGAGTGAAGAAACTGAGTGTCCACAGTAAATATCAGCAATCAGCTATCCAAAATCATAATTTGCCATATCAAGGCTTTCTTCTACCCAGTCAAAGTCGATCAAAGGTGTTACTTTGTGAAAGTTGACCATGTGTGCTGTGGTGTGTGTTCGCAGTCAGAACTGTGCAGAGTTTTACCCTTTGTTCCTGGTGACGCTGTGGACCTGTGGCCTGTTCTTCTGTGAGGTGACAGCAGCTGCAGGAGGACTGGTGTACATTATCGCCAGACAAATATATGTCAACGGATATGTCAAGTCCACCAAGAAAAGGTCATTTATCTGATACATTGTTTAAACAGTAATGACTTCAGTTAAAGTATTTGATGTGAGAATGTTGACTGAGTGCTCTCTGGTTCGCAGGTTACCTGGGTTTTACCTGACTCTGGCTGTCATTGTCACTCTGTCTCTACTGGCTTTGATTGGAGTACTGCGTGGGATACTACACAAGTACTTTAACATCCACCTTTGAAGATTTCACCACTGCCTACTTATGCAGAACAGCCTATTAAATAGTAGGTGTATTTCAGAAACAGGATTGTTCACAGGATACTCATCTGTTTGTAAGTCTGCTGAGGTCTAATCAGTGTCACTTGTTTGATTCTAAACAAAGCCCAGGATCATGTTCTTTTAAAATGCTATGTTTCTGTAACCTCTCAGATACCTTTAAGTCAGACATACTTTGTGTGACAGCAATGACCTGTGTGATCTATTTTTTATAGTAATAAACACATAAGCCTGAGTGTGTCATGCATTTCATATTTCCATACATGTACATATAGAATATTACTCCCCAGCACAGTGACATTTTATAAAACCAAAAAATTCAAGGTTGATTTATCAAAGTGAAATAAAGTTTGTGTTTTTATTTAGTTCATGAGCAATTGTCATTAATTTTAAACATACACGGATGTCTTTTAAGAAAGGGTGGTGTTATCATTTTCCTTAAAGGAGCAGTGTGTACGATCTAGGGGGATTTAGTGGATCTAGTTTTGAGGATTGTAGTTTGCAACCAGCTGAAACTTTTTCCAGTTGGAATTCCTTCAGTGTTCATTGTTCAGGAGATTATCACCAGGGGTGAAATTATCCACAGAGTTCCTTCCTCTCCAAAATAAATGGACCAAAAGTAAAAACACAGAGCAGTTACATGTTACAAATCAGTATTTTCCTATGCTGTTTGGCATGTTGTAGGTGTGCTGCTATCCCAGCACCTGCTAATGTGTGCTCACCTTATTTCTGATCCAGACTTTCAGGAGGTTGCTACTAGGAGCTGAATTATTCACAGAGGTCTCCTGTCAAAACCAAACAGGTGATTGAAACTGGTAAAACACTCAATAAAGCAGTTTAACGATAAATAACTAGTGTGCACGTCACAGAGGGGCTGCGAATTATGGTGGCCAACGCAACAAATGCGAATGGCCCTATCTAGAGCCAGTGTATGGTTTGTCTGTTCTGGGCTACTGTAGAAACATGGTGGTTCAACATGGCTATCTCCACAGAGAAGGACCCTCTCCCTATACAGAAATGAACGGCTTATTCTAAGGTAACAAAAATACAGTGATTCTTATTTACAGGTGATTATACACTAAAGAAAACATAGTTATTATTATATTATATTCCATTCCTGCCAATACACACTGAACCTTTAAAGGTTCTCAATATACAAATAAACTGTACATGTATACATACATTTACACACATAAAAAGATACATAATGTACATAAACAGCAGCACACATGCATACTGTAAACATGTATGACCAAAATACTTAATCAAAGGAGAGACACCATCTATTTACCTTCAACCCAGCGTGTATCCTCACCTTTACCTTTCAGAATTCTGTACACAGTAATGATGGGATCCCCTCTCCATCCATCCATTATCTGTCTGTAAAGATGCACATCAGACTTCTTCCTGTGCTCCACATGTACTTCTGAGGATGCTACACATAATTGATCTGTATTGATGTCATCATTTTGCGGTGTCTACATAGAGGTTGTGGCGTCTAGCAATGACACTGAAAGATTAGAAAAGCCACGTATACACATCCTAAGTCCTTTTTACACAAACATTGAAACATTAAGAGCACAATATTAATGGCTTGATTAAGGCAGCGTTGTCGCTTTAATTTTCCTCCTGGTGTCACATCGCCCCCTGGCGGCTGCACTGTGTAATGGTCATACTGAGCACAGCTGGTGTCACACACAGGCTGTGGGAGTAAACACAAATACTTCACGATTTTCGTCCAAATTCTGCATTTCAGCTCAACAGCCCCTGTTTTTCAAGTCGTAAGGTATGTACGCCAAGTTCACATTATCGTTTATTCACTGCACTGTGTGTGGCAGCTGGAAAATTCAGCACTTGGTTAGTGTGTTAGCATGCTAACCGCTAGTTAGCATCAGGCCTGACTAAGCCTGCTAGCCGCCTCTGTCACCCGTCACAGTACGGGTAGCTAACAAGCCAGATACATGATACCGGTGTGTGTGGGCTGCTGGACTCAGGTCTGCTTTGCTTCAGCTTGTATTAATGTAGTATGTGAAGTAACATCACTCAGCTACGGTGCATCTTTAGATTATAATGTGGAACTTACGGTAAAAAATGCTTTTTTTGTCTTTTCTGTTAAAATGCGTACCATATACACGGAGATATGATTTTCCATAAGGCATACTGTTCTTAAGACAAATTCGGCATGACACTTAACAGCCTTTTGTGAACTTTTAATATAGTCTTCTTTTGAAATGAACGTATCTGACATAAGTCTTTAGTGCCCATCACGTTTTATGTAGGCGCAGATATTCCTGTGTTTTGGTGAAGACACTTGAATTATTTATTTATTATTGAATGACGTCATTAATATAGTGGCCACTGGTCCAAGTCATGAAGTGTTACAGTTTTCAACCAGGTGTTCCTTGTATTGCAAACATGTACACTACGTTGGTTAAATAACGTGTTCTTCCTAAATCTTGCAGTGTTCCCCAGAGTCGCAGCCCTGCATTCCAAAAAGGAAGACGAGTACTTCACCATGAGCTCAGACGATGGTGAGGCAACACACACACACACACACACACACACACACACACACACACTCACACTCACACGCTCACTCACTCAATATGTGTCCGTAGTTCATATGCCAGGTGTTTGACTGCCTCTTTCCATGGCTGCAGGTGACATGGAGAACCAGGCTGAGCTGGAAGAGAAGACGAGGCTCATCAACCAGGTGTTGGAGCTTCAACACACTTTAGAGGGTGAGTTACAACAAACACATGTACACACTTTTTCATTTTTAGACAGTCTAAGTGTCAGTATAGCAGATGCAAGAAGTAAGGTGACCAGATTTAAATTATATTCTCAATATCCTTGTGAGATGACATTAGCTAACATCATTAAGGCTGTGTTCAGACTGGCAGCCACATCTGATTTCTGGCATGTACAGTTTGGAATCAGCAGATTCCCCTCACCCGCTGTGATGGGCTCGGATATAAAGTAAAAAAAAAACAATACATAAAAACACTGGTGAGTTCTCTCCTTGGAGCTGACATGAAAGCTATTTTGGTTTTTGGATGAGTTTTTATTAATGAGTCATCCGTCCTGGAGTTACCAGTCTGACTGTCATGACTCCCTCCCTGTGTCTTGAATTTGGCACTGCAACTGCATGAAGGGGCGGAGCTACCCTCCCTCTCTGTCTCCACATTCTGGGTCCAGTCCACATCCTCCTGCTCTTCTTCATCATCCCCATGAATATTACTATCTGACCCACTGAAAGTGAGCTGAGTTATGAAATGATTCTGTGTGCCCTGTTCCTCGATCTTGTTGCGGCTGTGTCCTGCTGCTGAATTTTCGTCACCGATTCTTGGTCAAATGTTTCTATAAGCTTCTGACGGATGTGAAAAACACAGAATATCGAACATGTTCTGAAAATTTTAATAACAGATGAAGGTTTTGGACTCAGTGCGCAAACATAAGAAACACAAAGTGAGGTGGAATTTATTTTGAGATGAACAACAATTTCAGACGAAAAAAACGGACTCAGTGTGCAAAGACCGTAAAACATAGCAAAACATACCTCTCGGGTATCACATGTTTATCACTATCTAAAACAATGTCCTGCGAAATAAATATTAGGAGGGCAGCTTTGTTTCTGTGTGTTCTGGCCTTTGCATTTAAAACCAGCTTACACTGACCATCATGTACTTCAGGTACATGTGAAGGTCATCCATCATGAAAGTGTGGTTGTAAAAACCAAAAACAGATCTAACATTATTCCACTTTTTTATTCCTATTTTTGCAGTAGCCTTAGGCAGCTCTTTGAAACATGAAGTACTCACACACTCTCTCATGCAGTGAAGCCAGACTGAGCTCCTGCTGAGATTTCTTGCATAATGAACTGCAACACTTTACACTTTTAGGATATTCTAGAAATACTGACACCAACTAACAATGGATTATTCTCCCCACATGTCGGGAATAAAGAGAAATCACACTGGGTAGAGTGTAAGGTGAATGAGCATAATAATGTGTTGTGAGGAAGAAGAAGTGATAATAAATATGATACTGGTGAAGGTCAACCATGAAGTCTGACGTTCACATTATTTTTGTTCTGTCAGGTTTTCTGTTGTATAATGTTGCTGATGACTGTGTTTGTGTGTGTGCAGACCTGTCTGCCAGAGTGGACGCTGTCAAAGAGGAGAACCTGAAACTGAAGTCTGAGAACCAGGTTCTGGGTCAGTACATTGAGAACCTCATGTCTGCCTCCAGTGTCTTCCAGACCACTGACACCAAGAGCAAACGAAAGTAAGGAGAACCTCTGAGAGCCTAGACCTAAAAAAATCCCACTCACATTCCATAACCTGAACCCAAAGCATCCTGGAAGACTGGACTCTAATAGTCGACACCATGGACCCTTTTATACTGCCTGAGCCTAAAACATGTTTCTGAGCAAAGATGGGTGTTTGCTATGTGCACTAGGAGGCAGTGTTGTGTTTATCAAATCAGGATGTACACGGAAGAGAAAAGACGGCTGTTTATGAGTCCTGGTAGATCAGTCAGAAAACAAAGGGCCACATTTTTGATGGGCTCAACTTACCGGCACATGCACACAACTGGTTTTGAAATGCAAAAGTTGAAAAGTCGTGTGAGCTGTGGTTACACCTCGTTGCATATGAATGCAAATAAGTATCTTTGTAGAAGCATGCTTTGACTTTAGTCAGCTGCAACTCAGACTTCCTCTTTCATCCCAAACATCTCCGATTCCAGGAACCTGAGCACTGAGCAACACCTGACCCGTCTCTTAACAGGTGGTCGTAAATTTGCTTTTGTCCAGTCCCCAAATTTTGTACCAGTTACAAATGTACAGTGGGGTTGTGAGGGAACAGCAGCCAGTAGTTTTTACAAAGCTCTCCTACTTTGCTATGGGCGTTGACATTTGGGCTAAATTGTGGCTGTTGATTAAAATTGGATTGATACCTAAATCAAGTGCACATTTAAAGTCGTTTCATACCGAGCATGGATTTTTGTCTGGAAAAATTTGGAAATTTATAAAAGCTGATATTCTGGATTCCTGTAAGTGCTTGCACACCCCCAAAGAATATTAGGCGCGGGAAAAAATATTTAGACTGACTTCGATTTCAGCAGATTTCCACCTGCAAAAAATATATGTAGCCAATGAAATCCTTTGTTCCAACTGTTGTCATACCTCCAGGCCATAGCTAGCTTGCTGCCAAAATGGGGGAACATCTAATTAATTTGGTTTCTCAACACCCATTACCGTACAACAAATATTGCGATGACTACCTCTACAACCAAATAAAGGACAGTGAATGGCTTGCCCAGCAGCTGAAATACAAGGATGGTAATGTAGCTGATATGCACTCGCTGACGTTACGTGTTCATCACAGAATGGGGCTAGGTACAACAGCTAGCATTAGCATAACCTTTTGGGTCTGATTAGGGTATGTAATGTGTAGCTAATGTTAGCCGTCTGGATGGGTTTTGGTTATGTGGAGTGGACGCTGGCACCATTTAGGAGGAAACTCTTTGGGCCTCATTTTTGAAAATGAAAGACTTCACTGAGGATAATTTACACCAGACCCAGTGTGCAAAGTTGTCATGTGTCAATTTCGCATTGCAGCGGTGAGAAACGGATTTAAATTTGTTTAGGGGTTATTTTGTGCGGTAAATGGTGGCAGAGTTGACTCAGTAGTCAGAGCTGATTAAATATAAACATTCACAACAATGGACAAAATATGAATCAAACAAATTGAGGAAATGTGCGCAGGGCTGAAAAACACATTATGACATGATAATTGCTTTTTTTTTTTTGGACATTTTAGAGGTTTAGAAATAAAGTCACCTCCTAGACACCATGCAAATGGCGATTTGGAGGTAAATTCTTATGCTGCATTTGTTATAACATTTCCCAAATCCTTTGTACCCCATGCCGCACTCTAATAGCCATCTGTACACGCAACACATATTCCAGTGAGACAAGGCAGCTAACAGCAGTAATAAAGCTAACTCAGACTACACAAAGTTAGCTGTACAGGTAGTGAAAAATGAACTGTATCCATTTTGCAAACTAAATACGGACAGCATGGGTTTAAAGCACAGAGCCCCACTCACATGATTAACATTAGCATTACAGAGATCTGTTAGTGATGTGGACATGGGTATTATAGCAGTAATGCTATTATTGATCTGAAAGACTGATAAAATTTTCAATATTTAGTAGACAGCATAAACAGTAACAGTGTGTCTTACCTGTTTGTTCCTCGACAGGTCCTGTGCAAAGCTATTCACCGCTTTATTAAAAACAGATTGCTATATGCTAATAGCTAATTCTGCCCCCTGAACCTACAGGGAGTTTTCCTTCTTGGGATATTTACGTACATCTGTCATGCATTGCTTGTGAAGTTTATGTAGTTAATATCAGAAAATCAACTCTTTATACATGCTGTCAGTCATTTCCCTTAGTTTTCTGTTTCCTCCATCTCACAGATGATGATAATATTCATCATCAAGGAGAATATGTCCACAGTCCAGATAATGTTGAGTTTCTCTCAAAGCCATGCTCCCAGATCTTATTGGCCCCCAGGCACACACACACACACACACACACACACACTGAAAAAAGAAATTTCAATGCTCAACCCCTTCCAATTTTTGAGTTACAATGTTTATGTTACACTTTCCTTTTCTCCTCGGGGCTTAAGGGCTTGATTCAAACACAATTTTTTCAGTGTTTGTTGATGGGAAGCTGGTGAGGGATCATGTCTTTGTCACTGCACTAGAGACTCATATCGGCTTTTCACACAGCATTCTCTTAGCCTCAGCTAATGTAGCCCATTTTTACTTACACATTGTTTACCAAGGGTCAACCTAAGCCCAGGGCTACACAACTCACTTTCACTATCCCAGGGCTAAATGTTTGTTTGACCACATAATGCATGTTAACATTATAACACGCTATTGTTTACTTAGCCTTGTTTCTCACACTGGCAACTTTTAGCCCCAGGTGAAGTCCATTCTCAGGAGATAACCCTGCAAACTCGGGGCTAACTCTGCTCCAGAGCAGGCTAAAGTTGGCACACTTAGCATGTGCCAGTGTGATTTTTTTTTTTATATATATATTCAGTTCAATTCGATTTTATTTATAAAGCCCAATATCACAAATCACAATTTGCATCAGAGGCAGCATACAACACCCCTCTGTCCTTCGACCCTTACAGTGGATAAGGGACCCCCCCCCCCAGCCTGGGGCTAAGGACAGTGTGAAAAGTCTATTACTGGCTGGTTGGGGTGTCTGCATTGAGGCACGCATGTCTGCTCCTTCCCTAACAGTGGAGTTAGCAACAAGGAGCTCAGCACAGGAGAAACTGGCTTTTTAAACTTGGGGAGAAAAATAAAAAGTTCCTTTTGTTATTTATCAGACAGTATTGCAGCTATTGCCATATATAGAGTAGATAGTGTTTTTGTTGATATAAAATGGTTTTATTGTTACTGCTTCTAACCTCTCTAAAGAGAGGCGGGTCTAAAGGCCCCAGTCCTTTGTCATTTCACTACAGTGTCACTTTTTTGTTGCCATTTTGTTGCTGCTTTTTGCAAGTTTGCAAGGGAGTAAATTACACTACTTAAATGGTGACTGTTGCAGTTTGTAGCTGAGACCATGTGTCAGTTTTTATTTGAACTCAAAGAGTCGTGTGTATATGCTAATTGTTAAACTTACCATGTCTAGTTTAGCCTCTCAATAAATCAGTAACAAATATGCATACTGTATTTATGCATTTAGATCAAACACATCTATAAAGTCTTGAAATCTCTTTAACCCTGATGCATTTGTACATTGTTTACATATGATTGTTTTATGTTGCTAATTTGAAATGACTTTAGTTTAATAAAGTGATGATCCTTTTTGATGAAATGTTTCAGTGATGTTTCCTAAAACTTATAATCTGTTTCATATTTCTCGTGCTCACAGAGTCACTAAGGATGCTCGGAAGGACAAGTGACCCACTGCTTTGCCCTCTGCATTTTCAGTCTTGGTATATATACCGCATATACAGGCGGGTGTCAAATTAAAGGAAACGTAAGAAGAAATTAGAGACATAAAAAATGCAGCTAGGAAGTGTCTGTTCATCCCTCCATTAGAGCTCCACACACTATGTATGAATCCATGACGGGGAGCACTGAAGCAAAAACGTAATAACACACTTTGTCTTATTTTTTATGTTTTTCCTTTCATTTGTCACCTACCTGTCGGTTTCTGTGGTAGACACAATCTAAACTGGTGTAGTCATTGATTGAATGATTCCACACAGGACATTGGTTTCTCTATATGCAACTAATGCATATGCTCTGGTTTCCCAGGAACATCTTAATATCAACATGTTTGTTACCTGAGAGAGACCCTGTTAAGATGTTTGGAAACTGGGTGTCACTTATAGACCGTTTCAAACCGGACAACATAAACATTCTAAATGGGTCCCTTTGTATTTCCTGTTTGAATGTATGTTAATGCAGAAGCTGACAGGAAGTAAACAGGGACCAAAGTTTTTCCCCTAGCAACAGAATAGCAATGAAACAGTCCATAGGCTGTAGGTGCAGCAGTGGTGTGTATTTTGGAGCATGTTCTAGGGTTGGGTGATACAGAAAAAGTCAAATAGGCCTACCTCGATATTTTTGAGCAAATACCTCAATATTAATATTGTGACTATACTGAAGGGTTGACTATTGGTGCTTTTACAAAATATTTACACAATGAGATTTTTGATAAATAATTAGCAGTAATATGAATATAATGACTAAGTGGGTGAAGGCAAATAATAGAGCAGCAGAATGTCTTACCAGAACAGTCAGAAAACACTGTAACGTAGCCTTTAAAACCAGGAAAATACAACACCTATTATATGCAAAATTTAAGATATTGAGATATTTAGTCACATATCACAATATCAATATAATGTCAGTATATTGCCCAGCCCTACCCCGCTCCAAGTAAATAATATTGTTTGGATCACTGTTTTTTCTGTGGTGTCTTTGTCTTTATTTCTCATTGTACCCCAGTGTTTGGTAGCTAGGCCCTTCAAGTTGAAGCCCCAAAGTGAAGAATTTGAAAACCTCTCATTTTGCAGCCTATTAGTCGGTTAGGATATTGTTTGAAATTTTCTGACTGATACCCAGCTTTTGGCAAAAGTATCAAAACAAAATCTTCTCTGTATCTTACACTGAGAAGCATGAACATGTTTTCTGCAACCACCCCTTTTTTCATTAAAAAAAGAAGCCACAGTTCTCAAATGTTAAATGTCTAAATACAAACAAGCACACAAGAACTTTGCCTAAATAATCATCCATAATTAGTTATGTTTAAATTAAGAACTGTCTGATCAAAGAATTAACAATATGTATTGTGAATCTGACATCAGTGTACCTGACACTTTTTGATACAATGCTACAGACTGCAGAAACATCTTGCTTTCACAAAAGAAAACTAAAATTTAGACACCTTGTAATTAAGAGTTACTATCTCGTAATGTTGGAGTATCTTATACCTTATTATCTAACATTTTAGTTGCTACCTCGTAAATATAAGTTACTATCTTGTATTTATGAGTTACTACCTCATAATTATGAGTTACTTTCTTGTATTTGAGTTGCTAACTTGTAATTGTGAGTTGCTACCTCTTATTCATGAGTTACTATCTCGTAATTTAAGAGTTATGATATCGTATTTATAACTGTCTACCTCGTAATTAAGAGTTACTTCATCGTATTTATGACTAACTACCTCGTGATAATAAGTTACTATTTCGGAATTATGAGTTACTATCTGGAAATAGTGAGTTATTATCCCATATTTTTGAGTAAGTATCTCGAAATTATGAGTTACTACCTCGTAACTATGAGTTACTAGCTTGTATTTGAATTACTGTTGTAATTGTGAGTTACTATCCCATATTCTTGAGTTAGTATCTGGTAATTTTAAGTTACTATTTTGTCATCATGAGAAAAGTTATCAGTCATCATCAACCTAAGCTACAGAATACAACACTGGGCATGAATGGCCCTATCACATTAAACACTATCACATTTTATTTCCCTCTTATCATGAAACAATGATAACACTGGTATGAAATCCTGATACATCAATCAAAGATCTTGTCATTACGATAAGTCTATTTTTTTTCTTTTGTGACTGCACTTCTGAAACAGACAAAATTTGGTCAGAAACAGTACTGAGAGTAAGAAATATAGAATCACATAAAAATACGTTTTTGACACTCCCACACTGATGTAAAGTACACTGCTCAAAAAATGTAGGGAGCACTTCAATGACACATCAGATCTTGATGAACAAATTATTCAAGTTGAAAATCTTTACTGATATATAATTTGTTGTATTTGTTGTATATTATTGTATAATTTGTTGAGAACAAAATGATGGAACAACAGTCAATGGAAACCAAAATCATCAACCCACTGAGGGCTGGATTCAAAATCACACTGAAAATCCAAGGAAAAAATTTAAATCACAGGCCAATCCAACTTGTGTGACTTTTATCACAGCAACTCATGATGTGACTCAGCAGTGTGTATGGCACCAGCATGCTCCTGATGAGTCGATGGATGCTGTCCTGGGGGATCTCCTCCCAGACCTGGGATGAGTGAGCTCCTGGACAGTCTGTGGCGGTACTTGGCAGTGTCAGATGCACCAATACATAATGTTCCAAAGGGGCTCAATTGGACTCAGGTCAGGGGAACGACAGAACCAGTCAATGGCATCACTGCCTTCATCATCCAGGAACTGCCTACACACTCCGGCCACATGAGGCCGGACATTGTCCTGCACCAGGAGGAACCCAGGGCCCACTGCACCAGGGTAAGGTCTGACAGTCGCTCTGAGGATTTCATCCCAGTACCTAACAGCAGTCAGGGTACTGTTGGCTTTGACACAGAGGTCTGTTTGCCCCCCCAAGGATATGCCTCCACAGACCATCACTGACCCACCACCAAAGCGGTCATGCTGGATAATGCAACACACCACTAGAGGGTGTTGGTTCCTTATGCCACCCTCTTGGAGTCTGTTTCTGACAGTTTGGTCAGAAGCATGCACACCAGTCTGCTGGAGGTCATTTTGTAGGGCATTTGCAGTGCTCCTCCTGTTCCTCCTTGCACAAAGGAACAGATACCGGTCCTGCTGCTGGGTTGATGCCCTTCTACAGCCCTGTCCAGATCTCCTGGTGTAACAGCCAGTCTCCTGGTATCTCCTCCATGCTCCTGAGACTGTGCTGGGAGACACAGCAAACCTTCTTGCGACTGCATGTATGGATGTGCCATCCTGGAGGAGCTGGACTACCTGTGCAACCTGATTGGGCTGCAGGTACCACCTCATGCTGCCAGTAGTGACAAGGACACTAGCAGAACACAAAACTAGAGAAGAGTGAGTCAGGAAGGATAAGGACAGAGCAACTGTCTGTGGCCACCACATGTAAAACCATTCCCTTTTTGAGGGTCATCTTGCTTTTGCCTCTTCATTGCTCCTGTTGTCACTTTCATTTGCACCAAAGCAGGTGAAACTGATTCACAATCACTTGTGCTTCCTAAATGGACAGATTGATATCCCTGAAGTTTAACTGACTTGGTGTTAGACTATGACCATCAAGAGTTCCCTTAATTTTTTGAGCAGTGTATGTTGGTCATGATATGACCTATTGATCGCACTGGATGTTGTTTGAGACTTTTAAAGATATTTTTTTTAATGGGCATTTTTGCCTTTTAATTGATAGGATAGTGAAGTGTGAAAGGGGGAGAGAGAGAGAGAGGGAGAGACATGCAGCAAAGGGCCACAGGCTGGAGCCGAACCCGGGCCGCTGCGGCAACAGCCTTGTACATGGGGCGCCTGCTCCACCACTAAGCCACCGACGCCCCGCAAGGATACAATTTTAAATGAATAATTCTAATTCTTTAATTCTACATAAAGGTAAAAAAAAAAGTGTTAGTCACTGTCAGTACATTTTGACTTCCCTACCGTGCCCATGGCTCTCAGCTCATTGGTTCCTTTTGAAGATGTAAATTTAGTCAAAATACACTGGTGTGTATATGAGTGTGAGACAGAGAAAGAAGATATAGCAGGCTTTGGATAAACATGCAATACTTTGTTTCCTTTAGTCTTACCATAGGACTTCTTGACAGTAAGTAAAATGTTGCAAACCTTATCCTTCGATATAAATTGAAACAGCTGTATCAGACAGATGTTTATATGTGCCAGTGTCTGACTCTCAAACTAATAAAAGCATACCTGAAAACCAGTCTATTTGGTTGTTGTCAGAACTGATACAACTTCCCCTATTTAATGTCACAACAGTGAAACATCTCTGCATGGCACAATAACACATACAAGACCATTGTTACACTTTGTGGGATGTGTTTAGTGGTTTTGAATTTCATGTAAATGCAGGTTAATGCAGAATAGCTACTGCTCCACCTGGCTCAGTTGTGACAAGGTGCTTAAAAACATCAGTGAGTCCAAAATGGTAAAAAAAAAAAAAAAAAAAAAAAAAAAGTGAAACGTTGCATAGATTCAAGTGTGCGGAAATCTTTTTTTTTTTTTTTTTTTTTTTTTTTTTTTACCATGGAAATGCAGGATAAACAATCCAAAAACAAGCTGGTAGTGTATTTTTTTCTTTATTTGTTACAACAAAATATAATGTAATAGCATAATAAATTACTCATGGAGGAGCTCTGCTGTTTTAGCAGTGAACTCTTTGATAAGTGGAGTGTCTTTAAACAGCTACTCTGAGCCAGCAATGTGGCCAATTCAGTCAGCTCACAAGAGAGCTGGATTCCCTTCATATTCCATAACACAGCATGTTTAATATTGCAGTTTTAATCCAAACTGTGTGACCTTACACAAATGTGG